CGCTGAGCGCCGCCGTGCCCGCCCCGCCGCCCGCCCCGCCGCCTACCTCGCCCCGCGCCGCCTTCAACTTCATCGCCGACGTGGTGGAGAAGACGGCGCCCGCTCTGGTCTACGTGGAGATCGTGGGCAGGTACCGGCACCGGGAGGTCCCCGGGAGACATTTCCCTCCTCCCTGCGCAGTGTGGCCTCGGCCCCTCCGGGACCTCTGCCGGCTTGTCCTGAACCGTCCCGGAGGCTCCCGAAGGTGCCTCGGGAGAGACCGGCGCGCGGCTGCCACACGTCGCTGCCACTTCCATGTCCTCCGGGGCCGTCTGGCGGAGCTGCCTCCCGGGCTGCCCCTGTTAGTCCGCCTGGGAGCAGCACTCGGCATTTCCCTGTCTGCTCTCTAATGTTCTCACCATCCAATGCCTCCGGCCTCTTGGAGCACCTCTGTGCAGCAGCTCTCCCCTCTGGCTGGGGGTGACTTCTGCTTCTAGCTCGGTGTCACCCGTGTGCTGTGTCACCCTCTCTGTCTCGCAATTTAAGGAGGCATCAGCTGGTGCTGCTCCTTCCCTGGGTTCCTGACCCACACTGGCAATAATTCACCATCAGCTGGCCTTTGGCCTTGCTGGTCCATCCCATTTTCCATTCCCTTCACTTGACTACCAGCAGAGGTTGTGGTGATAGACCAGGGCCCAGAGTTGTGAGTCTGCTCCCGCTATCAGGAAACATTCCTGTGGCCTCTCAGGTATTTGTTACTTGCTGAAAAGCTAGGCTCCATGTGGTCTGGCCTTGTCTCTGCACAGGTCCCAGCTCCTCCTGCTCTTGCACGCTTCTCTTCCTGGTAGGAATGTACCTTTGTGGCTGTGCATGAGCTCTGGATTCCTGCTGCATTCGTGCAGATTCCCCTCGTTGTGCAGACTGTTGGGACAGGAAAGGATTTCCCCATCGTGCCGCTGCCTGCACACCCTCACTGCTCCCTGCTGTCCCTGCCACCCCTCCTGACCTGTGCCCTCCTTGCAGGCACCCCTTTCTGGGCCGGGAGGTTCCCATCTCCAACGGTTCGGGCTTCCTGGTGTCCCCTGACGGGCTGATCGTCACCAACGCGCACGTGGTGGCCAACCGGCGGCGCGTGCGGGTGAAGCTGGCGAGCGGCGAGATGTACGACGCCGTGGTGCACGACGTGGACCAGGTGGCGGACATCGCCACCATCAAGATCAAGCCCAAGGTGCGTGCGTGTCACAGCTGTGGGGACACCGGGGAGCGGGGACGTTCCCTGTGTTTGTCACACTGACAGGCTCGCTCCCCACAGCACCCGCTGCCCACGCTGCCGCTGGGGCGCTCGGCCGAGGTGAGGCAGGGCGAGTTTGTGGTGGCCATGGGCAGCCCCTTCGCCCTGCAGAATACCATCACCTCGGGCATCGTCAGCTCGGCGCAGCGCGGCAGCCGCGAGCTGGGCCTGGCCGCCACCGACATGGAGTACATCCAGACCGACGCTGCCATCGATGTAAGGGACGTGGGCACTGGGAGGGAGGAGGGGCCCGCATGGGGGTTCTGGCTGGTCACCCTGGGATTGGCCTCAGGATGGGGCTCTTGGATGGGTCTGCTCACACTCTCTCTCTCTCCTCTGCTGCAGTTTGGGAATTCTGGGGGCCCCCTCGTCAACCTGGTGAGTCCTGCTGCTTGTCTCCTTGCTGGCTGAGATGGGGATGTGCCGTGTGCCCCTTACTCCCCCCTTTTGGGAGTGCTTGTGCATGCTGGGAGGAGGGAGAGGAGGGCTAAGCCTGGTGTGAAAACCCTGTGCAGTATCTGAGGCAGGTGGAACTGATGGGGCTCTGGTGGAGACGAGGTCTGGCTGGTGCTGGCAGGGCAGGGCCAGGGACTGCCTGGACTCATCCCATAGACTCAACCTTGGCAGGGTCAGGCAGGACACAGGGACAGCAGCCTGGGAACGGGTGGGTGCACAGGCAGGACCCCAGGCTGGTGCAGTAGTTCCCCTGCTCTCCACAGTGATCCAGGCTGGGTAGCCCAGTGCCCTTTCCCTGCAGGATGGCGAGGTGATTGGTGTGAACACCATGAAGGTGACCTCAGGCATCTCCTTTGCCATCCCTTCTGACCGGCTGCGGAAGTTCCTGCAGAAGGAGGAGCAGCGCAAGAGTAAGTGGGGACCTCCATGCTCGGCTGCTGGGGGAGGCTCTGGTACAGCTGAACTTCCCAAGAAAGGCAAGGAGAGCAGGAGAAGTGTTTGGGGCCTCATCTGATGCCACAGGAAAGCTGTGCTGCTGCTCCCCTGCCCTGCCTGGTTCTCCTGTGACACTGGGGAGGGACATTCTCTGTCAAAAATCTGACAAACCAGGGAAGCCAAGTCACAGTGTAAAATACATCACGTGGAATGCTCCTGCTGGCACTGGGAAGTGGGCTGAGCTGTTGTAGGGATTTGGAGTGGCTCTGGATGCTCCCTGTTGTGAGGGCTCAGCCCAGCTCTGTTCTGTTTTCCAGCTGTGACATTCCATGTCCTGTCCTTCCACAGGCTCTTGGTTTGGCAATGCAGAGACGAAGCGCCGGTACATCGGGGTGATGATGCTGACCCTCACTCCCAGGTACCTGTCCTGAGGTCAGGGGCCAACAGATCAGTCCTGTTGGGGCAGGGATGTGCTGGGATCTTCCCAACTAACTGAGGGTGCCTAGTTTTGGGAGGTTTGTCTCCACATCTTAAGCTTTCACTCTCAAATCTCTTTGTGCTTGTGTTGTGGTTAGACTCCTGGCTGGCTCAGGGGTAAATTGGAAACTTGCAAGTTTCTACATTTGTAGTAGACTCTGTGAGCGGATAAAAAGTGCTCTGCCTGACAGGAGGGTGGAGCCGGGCTCTGCTTCCAGGGAACAAGGGACAGGACTAGAGGAAACTGCCTCAGGTTGTGCCATGGGAGGCTGAGATTGGATACTGGGAAAATTCCTTCTTGGAAAGGGGTGTCCAGCCCTGCAATGGTGGAGTCCCCATCCCTGGGGGGATTTAACAGCTGTGTGGATGTGGCACTTGGGGACAGGGTCAGTGGTGGGCTTGGCAGAGCTGGGGTTGGACTTGATCTTAAAAGCCTTTTCTAAACCAAACAATTCTGTGAAGTGCCCATGTCAGTAAGCAGGACCTGTGCTCTCACCTGTGGGAGCAGTTCTCAAGGACAACACCTGCTCTGGTTCTTTGGTTCCTGCAGTCACGTTTAAGGGACCTTCAGCTGCCTCGTGGGGCTGGTGTTGTGCCATGCTGGGCAAACACCTTCTGGGGCTGTGCTCTGCTAAGTCTGGTGAGTTCCCCAATGCCCAGCAGATGGTGCTGGTACCCGGCAGAACCCGAGGGATGTGGGAGGCCGGCCCAGGCTCCTCCTGCTTTCCTGGCCACGCTTGCAGAGACCGGGTCTGTCAGGAAGCAGCGTGAAATTCCTCGGACACGGCTCCTGGGACGCGGGTCCAGGGAAACCAGCTGACTGCCAGGCTTGTTTGTGCCCAGCAGGAAGGGCTCCCAACAAGGGATTGCTTGCCTTGGAATCGGGTGACTGCCCTGAACACCCTGAACTTTCCATCTGGAAGCCTTTCCCTGGCACAGGAAGGAGAAGCTCCATGTTGGGCACAGGCTCAGGCACAGACCCTCTTCTGTCCATAGTGCCCACGCCAGATAAGAGAGAGTGGGCACAGAGACATGTGAGGGTCCAGGAGAAATCCCTTTTTTTACTGTGAGAAGGGTGCTTAGACCCTGGCACACATAGCCTGGAGGGTCCTTGGGGATCCTCAAAACCCAACTGGACACAGTCCAGAGCAGCTTGCCCTGACTGAGGCTGCTGGGGGTCGGGAGAGATGAGCTTGAGAGGCCTCTTCCCACCTTTGCTGTGTGAAATTGGGAAGGATCGGCAGCTTTTACTGGGCTGTGGGACTGCACAGCAGAGTTCAGCACGGACCACAGCCACGTGGGGAGTCCTGACTGGCTGAGCAGGGACCTGAGAGGAGCAGAGCTGGGCAGACACTGAGTGTGTGGGTCTGCAGGGACTGGAGCTGATGCAGTGTTTGAGGGAAGAATGCCGTCACTCCAGAGACATCCAGCTGGAGTGCTGCAACAGTTGGGGAGAGTCCAAAGAGGAGCTGTGAGAGATGCAGAGTTTAAATTTGGTTTAGAAATCCTACAATCTGTGGGAAAGTTGGAGAAACTGTGATTGTTTAGTCTCTAGACTCAGGAGGAGAGTTCTGCTGACACGTCTGGCAGGAAGAGGGGCACAGCTTGTGTTGTTTATCCTGCTCACCTAGGGCACAGAAGTGAAACCGCAGTAGGGGAGGGATGGGTCTGACCCCAGGAAGGGTGATGTGACGTTGGGATGTGCATCAGCACCGCTCTGATCCAGCTGGCAGCTGCTCCAGGGGTTTCCAGCTCTCCCTGGTGCCACTGGGATTCTCGTCTTCTCGTTCTGACAGGAGGATGGCTGTGTTAGGGGCTGGCAGCTGTGGCTTGTGCTCAGCAGGGAGCAGGAACACAGGAGTGGAGGTCCTGTGCCTGCTCTCTAATCCTGTGCAGCTGCAGGGAGTGGGGTGGGAGCCCTGCTCTGCCTCCAGCTCCATCCCTGATGCTGATGTTCACTCTGCAGCATCCTGGCAGAGCTGAAGCTGCGTGACCCCACCTTTCCTGACATCTCCTACGGCGTGCTGATCCACAAGGTGATCATCGGCTCCCCGGCACACCAGTAAGTGCTGCCCTGTGCCTCAGGGGTATGTCAGGGAGCAGCTGTGGGATGCATTTTGCTGCAGAGCAGCGGGGCTTGGGCTCTGCAGCAGAAACCACCAGGGTTTCTGCTGGTAGGACCTTTTCTTAGGCTGGGTGGCTCACTGGCCAAGTACCAGTGCGGCTGTAGAACCCCTTGGTGCCGCAGCTCCTGCTGCACTTGCATGATGATGACGCCGAGTGTCCTCCTCACCCTCTGTGTGTTCATCCGTGTTCTCCCCGCAGGGCAGGGCTGAAGGCCGGGGATGTGGTGCTGGAGATCAACGGGACGGCGTCGCGGCGCGCCGAGGATGTGTACGAGGCGGTGCGGACACAGCAGAACCTGGCCCTGCTGGTGCGGCGCGGCTACGACACCCTGCTGGTGAGCGTCGTCCCCGAGGTCACCGAGTAGCAGAGACCGCCCGGCGCTGGCCCGGAGCCGAGGGCAGGACTGAGATGTGTCCGTGCTGGCCAGGCAGAGATGGAGAGCTCATGCAGGGCTGGAAGGGGCCAGGAGAGGGGCCTGTGCTTGGGTGACTTGTGGTGCAGCTGCTCCCCTCTATACTCAAATAAAGCACTTTTCTAGCAGCCCCCAGGGCCATGTGGCCTCCTTCCCGTGGCAGAAGCAGTTGCCTTGTGGAGGCTGGGCTGTGTGGGACCCTGCTCCTGTCAGTTCCCATATGAGACCCTGTGGCTGGGGAGGAGCTTGCTGTGCCTCCAGGGACCTTAGCAATGTTCATGCCACCTGCTTGGTACCCACCTGGGCTGGGATCTGACTCCTCTCTGTACCTGGCAGGCAGCTGTTGTGCCATGTGGCTCTTCTGTGAGAGTGGCCCCAGAGCGGGTCTGGGACCGGCATTACCTCCCTGGAGTGCAGCAGTGCTGCTGTGTCATGGCTATCTGGTCACATCCCTTCTGCTGGGAGCTCTGTGACTGCTCCAAGCCCTGTGTCCACATCTCCTGTGCAGCAGCTTTCCAGGCCGTGGTGAACTCGGTGTCAACGTTGGACTTGGGATGGCTGGAGCAGCATCTCCTGGCCCTGATGTCCAGGAGGGCTGAGGATGGGAGCCGCAGGCGGGGCCGGGGCTCTGCCTGTCCCGCCCCTAGCTGACTGTCAGTGCTGGAGCTCTGCTCCCACACACACCCGGCCCCTGGGGACAGCTGAAGGCCGAGGGCCTTCGGGGAAACAGCAACTCCGGCTGTTCCTCGCCTTCCTGGAAGAGCCGGAGCAGCGGCTCAGCGGCGAGGGCAGCCCTGAGCAGCGCAGGAATGCGGCTGTCGGGCCAGGCCCTGCCCGTGACGGCGCTCCCGAGCCCCGGCCCGCCGCTTTTGGGACATGAAAGAAGCACAGTTCCTCAGGGGTGCTGCGGCGAGGGGCGGCTCTGCCCTGAGAACAGGCCTCCTTTCAGCAGCCCCGGCCTCGCCGGAGGAATTCGCTGCCCCGGCCAGCGCCGCCGGCTCGGGGGAAATGGCGGCGTGTCTGGCATAGCTGCTCCGGCTGCGCTGACCGCAGCGCGTTCCAGGAGCGAGCCAAGGCCTGTCCCCTCCTCCCAGGCAGTGGGGAAGGGGGCGGTGGGGTCGGAGCTCCCAGCTGAGGGTGAGGGTTGTGCCTCCCTCGACCCTCGTGTCACACCCGACTGTTCCTGCCCTCTGTGTCGGCCCCAGGCCCTGCCGGGCTGTGCTCCCACACGAGTCGAGGCAGCCCCTCTCTGCTGGGAGACCTCAGTTCTTGTGGGTCACAGTCCCGCGGACCCCAGTCCTCAAGGGTCACAGCCCCAGGATGGGATTTCTGCTCGGTAACATTTGAGGGGGAACCAGCTCCTCACCACATCCCTGCTCTCAGTCCCCCCACCCACGGTGCTGTGGGGCTGCTGCTGGTCCCTTCCTCTGATCCAGAGGAGCAGCCGTGGCTGAGGAGGGTGCTGGGGGCTGCTGTGGGGCCAGGGCTGTGTGGATGAGGCATTGCAGGGCCCAGGGGATGCTCCCACACTGCCAGAGCCCTGCAGCGTCAACCGTGCCGCCTCCTCCTGCCAGGCCGCTCCTCCCAACCCACAGACGTGCCAGCAGCCATTGGGAAATAGAACTTACAACTTTATAGAGGAAATAAAATTACAACTGAGAGGTGGGGTAGAAGCTACCCCTGGGCAGCGCTGTGGGCAGAGACACCTGCACCATCCCCGGGGGACCAGGGGCTCCTGGGGCCCTGTGTGGGTTGTGGGAGTTGGGGTGCAGCACCTCCCGGACCGTACCCGTGTGCCGCAGCCCAGGGGATGTGGGCACGGTCTTCTGGCCAGTGGTTGGGGTGGCAGCCCCAGGCTGGGAGGTGCAGGTGTTGGTGTCTCCAGCACCAGCCCCACCGAGGTGGGGAAGGGCAGCCGGTGGTGAGTCCTGGGCAGTCCCCGGCAGGACACAGTGGCAGCAGCACTGGGCATCAGGCCTCCCTGCCGGTCTCCCAGCGGCTTCCTCCCACCCGTATGGGGTGAGGGAGGGAGATGCCTGTCTCCCCAGGGCCGGGGTCCTATGAAATCTGGTTGTTGAGCTGACCTGGGTACTGCTCAAACCGCTTGTTGGCCTCCTCGCTGAGCGCATCTCCTGCAGACAGAGGGCAGGGGCTATCAGCTCTGGTGCAGTGCATCCCCTGCCCTGCCAGCACCTTCCACTGTAGCTGCCCTCAGCACCACAATCCCAGCCCATCCTCATCCTCACGGCTTCCTGCAGCCCCGTCACTGCCCGCCACCCTCACCCTGTGCCGTGCCCCGGGCCATTACCGATGTGGCAGCTGTGCACCCAGATGCGGTGCCCGTCGTACTTGCAGTTGCATTTCATGGCATTGTTGGTGAAGTCACTTTCTGCCACCTCGAAGTTGGGGTTGATCACGACCTGTGGGGCACCGACAGTGAGACCCCCTGCCCCAGGCCCACAGGACGTGTCTCCCCAGCTGTGGTGGGTGTGCTGGAGAGATCCAAGGACACAGTGGCTGCTGATGTGGTGGGGTGATGCTGTCCCTGTGCACTGTGTGCCCCTGAGCAGTGCTGCTCAGAGATGGAAAACCCATGTGGCATGTGTGAGCAAGCCCTGCACATCTGTGGGCACAAGGACACAGCCAGCACAGGCACCAGCACCCCAGAGCTCCAGTAGGAGAGAGGGATAGGTGGCTGAAGTGTGTGGAGGGCTGAGGTGCAGGGACAGAGGCTGGGAGGGTGGCAGGAGGGGCCGGGGTGGGTCAGATGCAGCACCTGCAGGATGTAGTTGCCTGGCTTGACGTCAGTGATGTCGATCCACTGGCAGTCGATGTCGTGCCGGTACAGGTCCCAGCAGCCCACAGTGATGCCCTGCTCCCCAAAGTTGGCACACTCGTACCTCTTGGCCACATCTGCAGGCAGGAGGAGACACAGCTCGTCCCTGCTGAGCCCTCAGCCTGGCCCCATGATGGGAAGACACAGGCAGGGACGGTGCTGCAGGGCCCCATGCTGCCCACCTTCCTCACACTCGGTGTCCTCCAGGCAGAAGCTGGCCTTGTGTCCCTCGGCCACCTTGGTGCCGTTGGGAGTCAGGATGTCGTAGTGGGTGAAGATGTCCATGCTGTGGTAGTGCCTGTGGGAGGGAGCCACCACCTGCTGCAGACTGCCCTACCCTGCATCAGCCCCCTGCCACCTGCCCAGCCTCTCACCACCAGGAACGTCCCCACAGCCCCTCTGAGGTGGCAGCACTGTGAGGTTGGGCAGAGCTGTGCCTTGCCCTGGAAGGGGACACAGCTGTCCCCAGCCAGCTGTCCCAGGCAAAGCAGAGGGCTCAGCAGCAGAGCACAGCCTGCAGCCCTGTCCCTGTTCTCCGGGAGATCCTAACCCCCACACTGCTCATCCAGGAACAGCCCTAAGCCAAACCAGGCCAAATTGGACCCTGGGCAGCAGATTGGGACTATCCAGTGTCACCCTCACCCAGAGTCACCCTCACTCAGTGTCATACTTGCACAGTGTCACTCTGTTTCAGCACCACCCCTGCCCAGCACACTCCTCACCCAGCCCATTGCAGCACCACCAACCTCTCCCCACCCTGACCCCCAGCCCCATCTGTCCCCTGCCC